CTCTCGAATTATAGAAAGGAGATATGCAGTGTTGATAAGTCAGCGTTTTGAGAAAAAGAAACTAGATTCTTGTCTTGCTCTGTTGTATTTACTGAGGTCATAAAAATTCATCAATTTGCAGATATCTGCTTTTATTAAAAACCTATCAGCAGATTTCTTCATTTAGAAAATAAAATGGTGATCCAGACTAAAATGTTTAACTTTTCACTCACAAATGATACAAAGTAGATATGAATGTTCCCACCAACCCTACACACACACACACACACACACACAGAGAAAATTTCCAAACTCCCCTTTGTTGAAACTTTAAAAAAAAAAAAAAAAAAAAAAACTATGAAGTTCAGCTGAAACCATGTAAGTAGCACTATAAACCTTGAAGACCCACCCAGGAGTCTACAGAAGTCAAAAAAGACCCAAGTAGTGACCCAAGGTAGTGAACCAGGTAGTGAGGAACTATAAAAGACTCCAGTAGTTTAATTTTCTAATTACTGAATGATTATGCTAATCCAGAAGTCTTCCAGAGCCCCTTTGAAAGTGTATTTACATAGGATCCACTCTTCCACAATTCTTAAACATGTATGAGCTGTCTAATTGCTGAAGACCATCTCCCCATTGATAACTTTTTTATCCTTTGTACTTACCAAGGAGTGATAAATACAAATGCAGAAGAGGCAAAGATACAGGCTGATTTTGTAGTAAATGCAGGAGCGATTTGCTTCTTTATCATATTTCCAAAGTTAATCATTCCTGCATTCCTTCTTCTGAATATTTCTCTCTGATGCAACCTCTCCCTTTGATAATTCACCCTGCTCTCTGCCCTACTATCCTTGAACCCCCCAGGACAGAGATTCATTCCCTCTGTATTTGCAGAACTTCATGTCTAATACATTGTAGGAATATAATTACATTTGTTGAATCAAGGATACTATGCTTCAAAGGATCAAAATTTCTGCTCATATCACTGACACTTCCAGGAGATATATTTTTATCTTTAAGGGACAATCTCATAATGGTTTTCTTTGCCCCCCAATTCTTAATATCCACAACAAAAGTTTCAGAAATAATATAAAGATTCAACATCAGTGTGATCGATAGCAAGGCTGAAAATATCAATTGACAAAGCTCTTTCTACTAATATTCAAGAAACAAAATGTAAAATCAGTTCAGCAAAGATTTAAAAGTCTCCCTCCTTTTTCCCATCAAATTTGATAGCTACAATCTGAAGTGTTTTACTGAACCAGTCTCCAAGGTATTTTGAAATATAACACTGGTTATATTTAAGGGCAGGGAGTACTTCCATGTAATACTATAATGATGAATATATTCACTGTACATTTATCATAGTCTATGGAATACATAACACCAAGAGTGAAGTCTGATGTAAACTATGATCTCTGGATGACATTGATGTGTCAGTGCAGGCTCATTGATTATAACAAACAACATTGATGAGAAATGGCATTGGTGGTAGAGTTTGGGGCATGGTGAAGGGAAGGAATAGATGGGAACTCTGCATTTTCTACTCAAATTCACTGTAAATTGAAAACCGTTTTTATGATAAGGTTTATTAGTTTAAAAGGTAAATAAGACTACAGAAGGATAAATTTTTTTAGGACTCCAACCTGGTTACTGAAGCATAGTTTCACAGAATTTTTTTTTAAAAAAAAAAAGTGCAATTGTTTGCGAGACTCTTTGTTTCTTTTATTGGCTTTATTGAAATCCTCTACAACCTCAACCAAAGTTGTTGATTAAATTTACCACTCGATAGCTTGTCTTTTCTTAATAAATTTCATAAAGAAGGATGATGGTCCACGGGAGACTGATAGGGAACCCTCAGTGCTCTGCCATGGACTGCTCAGCCCTTGCTGATAGAACAGAATCAAATTTGCCTTGCTCAGGCACATACAGGCCTTGCATGGACTACCAAGTGGTCATTGAAAGAACATCTGTATTGCTGTACCACTGAGAAGGCTCCATCTGTCAATTGGGATAAAGGAATTTCAGAAGTTCCTCCAGTCTCAGAGGTTTCTTTCTATATTTGAACTTGGAAGCAGGCTATTGGAATTGCTTGCAAATGCTTGATCCTGAAAGACTACATTATGGTAGCAAAACTTTGGGAGGTTTAAAGCAATTCCTTAATACATAAGAGGCAAATATTTATTCTGGTCTCAGACCAGAGTTTCCTAATGTGGTGTCAAGAGAACATTTTTTTTCTAAAAACTATTTTCCCTATTTAAAGAGGGTATGATTCTTTAAAAAGCCAGGAACCCAAAATTTCCCAGGCTTATTTGGTTCCATAACCTTAGCTGCTGTTGGTTTTTCTTATAATGCTTATTTTAACATCCAAAGGAACTATTCAGAAACAGACTTAGGAAACTGTCAGTGTATTTGAATGATAATCATAGTGGAACATTAGAAATAACCTTTAAATAATTTTTATCTAACATAACTGACCCAAAATTATCTAGAGGAGTGAGAGGTTACCAGATCAACAGGAGCAATGCTGAAGATTTTAACAGGAAATTAAGTATGGAGTAAACCACAGGAAGTATACAAAACAAAGTTTTTATGCCAAAACAGGCCCTATACGTTCTGTTTGGGTCACTTCCAAAGTAACCATTTCATCACTTTCTTAATACATCTTGCTATCTTTCTAACCTCAAAGGATGCTGTTATATATAATGTATGCTCATGACTGTGTGTACGTAAATTTTATAATATTGCAAATGCATTTCCTTCTAATATTGCTTATCCTGAATAGAATCAAGGCAGGAAAATGAATATACTCCTTTTTACCAGCTCTACCCAATGCCAACCGGAGCCTAAGCAAAAACTATTATCCAACAGAAGCCTCTCTCAGTAAAAACAAGATCCAAAAGAAAGTTTAAGTCAAACTGGGTTCTCTATAAATGAGCCACAGACCTCTATAAATTCTACAGGAGCTTATATTAATTACACTAACGTGTCTACTCTGAGAAGTGGTTATTCATCTAGTTCCTTGGACTTATTTTTAGACTTTAATCTTCATTAAAGGTTTATTAAAACAGGCAGTATCCAGAGATACTGCCAAAATTTGAAATGGAAGGTCAACACATGAGAAGTACAATTTATCAATCTATGAAATGAACTCTTATTTTACCTTGAATGCTTTTTCCAGCTACTGTGTGATTCTTTAGTATATCTATATATTATGCCATATGAATGTATCAATTATATTTTTATTTATAGATTTGTTTTAACTTTACTTTGTTCTTTTCCTAAGCAGAAATATGTAAACAATCACAGTTTAATAGTTATATTGCTAATAAATATTAAGATAATATTAAAATGATGTACTCATTTAAATCATCTTATACACCACCAGTAGAATGTTTACCACACCCCTTGGAAAACTCCAACATGAAAACTTTCTGCCATGGAAATAAGAGATGAGAGTCCAAGAGGGACTCGATGAAGACAGCCTCTCTTATTTCTTCTTCCTAACAGATATCAACAAAAATTATTTGTTTTCTTCACACTATTTCCTGGCAAGGGGAATCTCTTTTAAATATTGAGATCAGATGATTATCCAAAGCATTGAGAGGGATACAACTCTAAAGTTGATTTCAAATTTATACAATAAATACACCAAATGAATCATTTGTGGAAATGTACAATTTTCTTTTTTTATTATTAAATTATTTATTTATTCTAATTTGTTATATATGATGGCAGAATACAATTCATTTCACATTGCACATTCAGAGCACAATTTTTCCAGTATCTGGTTATATACAGAGTATTTTCACACCATTTGTGTCTTCATACATGTATGTAGGGTAATGATGTCTAGCTCATTCCACCATCATTCTTACTCCCTTGCCCCTTCCTTTCCTCTCCCTCCCCTTTGCCCTATCTAAAGTTCCTCCATTCCTCCCATGCCCCTGCCTTTGCCATTATGAGTCAGCATCCTCAAATCAAAGAAAACATTCAGCCTTTGATTTTGGGGGATTGGCTTGCTTCACTTAGCATTTTGTTCTCCAACTCCATCCATTTACCTGCAAATGCCATGATTTTATTGTCTTTTAATGCTGAGTAATATTCCATTGTGTATATACCAAAGTTTCCCTATCCATTCATCTACTGAAGGGCACCTGGGTTGGTTCCACAATTTAGCTAGTGTGAATTGTGCTGCTGTAAACATTGATGTGGTGGGGTCGCTGTAATATGCTGTTTTGAAGTCCTTTGGGTATAAACAGAAGAGTGGGATAACTGGGCCAAATGGTGGTTCCTTTCCAAGTTTTCCAAGGAATCTCCACGTTGCTCTCCAGATTAGCTACACCAATTTGCAATCCCACAGCAATGTATCAGTATGCCTTTTTTCCCCACATCCTCACCAACACTTATTGTTTTTTGTATTCTTGATAGTTGCCATTCTGACTGGAGTCAGATGAAATCTTTTAATATATTTTTAGTTATAGATGAACACAATACCTTTATTTTATTTATTTTTATGTAGTGCCTGGGATTGAATCCAGTGCCTCACGTATGCTAGGCAAGCACTCTACTACTAAGCCATAACCCCAGAAATCTTAGAGTAGTTTTGATTTGCACTTCTCTAATTGCTAGAGGTGTTGAACATTTTTTTATATATTTGTTGATTGATTGTATATCCTCTTCTGAGAAGTGTCTGTTCAATTCCTTGGCCCATTTATTGATTAGGTTGTTTTTTTTTTTTTTTTTTTTGGTGTTAAGGTTTTTGAGGGAATGCACAATTTTCAAGAGGAAACTAGCGTCATCTCAAACCCAAGGCAGGGGCTGCTTTGGCCCTTTAGTGTATGTGTGTGCCTCTGAGTGTTTGGTTTTCTTTCTAATCAAGTGACCTGCTCTCATATGGTTAAGTTTCAACCACAAGACATCACTGTATGCTTTTTTTTTTTTTTCAAGCTCACGTCACAACACACCAAGGAAGGAGGAACTTGCAGTGTCTGTGGTAACATCACTTGATAAACAGCCTCCCTCGTGCAGCCAGAGCCTGTCTGCCTTCTCTATATAAAGCAGCAGAGACATTGGCGAGCAGACATTTGCTGAGAGAGGACCATGAGAGCAGCAGCCATCTCCACGCCAAGGCTGGACAAAATGCCAGGAATGTTCTTCTCTGCAAACCCAAAGGACTTGAAAGAAACTGGTCATTCACTTCTAGATGACAAAACGCAAAAAAGGAGGCCAAAGACATTGTAAGTTCCTCTAGTGTCTCACTTAGACTATCTCTAATGACAGAGGGCGTGTGAATGAATGGAAGAGAATATGAGCATTTGGGTCAGCCAGACCAGAGCAACTGCCTGCCTGTTGTGGTTTATAAGTAAGATTCGGTTGTAACAAAAAGTAAATCGTTCTATGGCATTAAATTAGGTGAGAAATTTTTCAGACATGGACTCATAAAAATGAGCCCTATCTGAGTATAAAAAATGTGCTATCAGTTACTTTTGTTATTGCCTTATTCAATCTTAGAGGCATTTAGACCCTGTTTTGTTCATTTTACAAATAAAATGAATTCTAATGGAGAAATACTAAGTACTCACTTTCTGTCTTTTGTAGTGCAATGGATATGAAAGCATACCTGAGATCTATGATCCCACATTCGGAATCTGGAATGAAATCTTCCAAGTCCAAAGACATGTATGTGTATTAATCCATTTTACTATCATTTACAAGATCAGTCTAGGGACCAGTTTTCTATCCTAGTAAGAGATTAATACTGCACATGATGGGTTTTCTCTTAGGTAATATGCCAAATAAGATTAGCCTACATTAGCACCAATGCAAATTAAATGTAAACATGTCTGTGTATATACTTGCTTATTTATCTTTGTACTGTCAGATTTTTATCTATTTGAATTTCTCAAACTTAATTGGCAGATTTTTTTTTCATACTTATGGTAATTCTAAGAAATCCTTATAAGTCTATGTTACTAAAATGTCTTGTAACTAGAATATTAGTTTGTGAAATTATCAGAGGGCAGCAGCCATTCCGATTGCATTTGGGCTTACATAAAAACTATTTTACGAACATGCTTATTTTTTTTTCTTCTGTAGACTTTCTGCTGATGAAGTAATACAGTGGTCTCAATCTCTAGAAAAACTTCTTGCCAACCAAAGTAAGTGTACATTAATCATGGAATGCTTCTTAATTCAGCTCAATACCCTAATAGATTGAAAGGCTTCATTAAAATAGTATAATATGCAAAAAGTTGTAGTCTGACATTTCCATGAACATTGATAACTTCAGCATAGTAGGCCTCTTTGTGATATGCTGACTTAACACTTAATTCTACAACAGTGTTTTAGACAAACCTGCCAAGGCAATTAGGCATTTTCACTGATGATTATAGGAAAAAAATTAAAATTACACTGGGGTTCATGAAGTTTAAAGTTTTAAAAGTAAACCATATATCTTAATATGTGAATTCTGATTTTGAAAGTTGCCTAAAGAATCTATTTTTACAGTTGGATATAAAGAGGATTCATTCATACAGTTAGTATTTTATCATTCAAACATTCATTAATTATCTCATTCATCCCACGTTTATGTGACAGGCATTTTAGAAGCAAAGGTATTCAAAAGCAAAGACATAGTCCCTTTCTACCTTGAAGGTTGTTGAAAAACATGAATAATTGCATTTTATATATTATATGATGCATGTTCTAACATAGAAAATGTAAAAGGATGTTTAAACACAAAGAGTCTTGCGGGGATTTTCTGACCAAAGAAGGGAAGGAATGAAATCATATTCCCTTCTTCTTATTATGGGTATTACAGTTCTACTGGAATGAGAAGGTGAAGAGGTATAGACATGCAGCTTGTTGTCTATCTAAAGAGTAAACTTATCCTCTTCTCCCCAGAAACACCCTAAAGAGCCTTGTTTGGGGATGAAGGAGTTCAACCTAGCTCATCAATATTATTATCAGATATAGTATACAACTCAGCTAAACAAATAAGTGGCACATAAATAGCCCATATAAGTCTCAGTAATTGCAGCAAATGTAATTAGTATATCAGATGCATAGGTGATATATAGGCCTGCCATTATCTAACATGAATTGGATTTGGAAATTATATTTGTAATTATTAACATGATGTTAATCCCCTTTGCAATTCTTGTTTTCTTCCTTGAAATGCTCTACATTCTGGCTAAGATGTTGGTCTTCATAAGAAAAGACATTGTTTTATAATCGGCAGAGCCAAATTCTTGATTTAAATACAAAAGGAAGCAAAGCATACCAAGCAGCTATGTGATTGAGAACAAGTTTGTTTCCAGTTCCTCTTCTATAAATAAAGGGATCTCTAGGGTCTTTCCTCCTTTACAAACTGTGACCTGGCTGTTCCAGCAGCAGTTGTATCTTATTTTATTGAGAGAGAATGTAGTAGCTATTTTTCTTACAGATTTCTTCAAGTTATTCACTTATTGGCTCAATTAATTTAATTATCTCAATTGTTCCCTTTGTTTTTAGCTGGTCAAGATGTCTTTGGAAATTTTCTTAAGTCTGAGTTCAGTGAGGAGAATATTGAGTTCTGGCTGGCTTGTGAAGACTACAAGAAAACAGAGTCTGATCTTTTGCATTGCAAGGCCGAGAAGATATATAAAGCATTTGTGCATTCAGATGCAGCTAAACAAGTGAGTATTAAGTCCATTATTATCAGCTTATGTGTAAAAGAATTAAGTCAACATGAAACTTCAAACATAAAAGATGAAATCCTTTTTGAGTATCATGATTTTACTTCTGCATATTTAGGCATATTCATATAGTTCAGTGCAACTACAAAATAATTCTCTGGATTTGGGAAGATTTCAGTGCAGAGAATGAAAGATTGACTTTGCAAACTATTGAACATGATGGACGGGTAGAGAAAGGAGCACAGGTACTATGGGCCAGAACCACACATCAGGGGATCCTTAATGAGCTATCCAGGGCAAGGATGAAATGCAGATTCCTATAATGCATGCAACTGCAGCAGCTAAAATACGTCCTGTCACTAGTAGTGCTTGTCTTCCTGTAAAACGTTCTTGGTCTCAACAGGAAGTAGATGCACAAGGAGTCCTCTCACCTAGTAAATCTCAAGTGTCCACATTACTCTTCTTTGATATGTGGACCACCTTTTGTAGATATTTACATTTCTCATGGCTGCTTCTTTTGTAACTTGAAACAGACACTTTTCTTGTGATATTTCTTTTTATCTCCTCCATACCTAGTATAGGCTTAGAGTAGTCAAACAAGAGATTTGAAATGAGTAAATGAGGACATAAGACTGTTTTCTTGAGGTGTTTCAAAAATTACAATAGGTGCATCATAAAATTACCATAAATATGACATGGACATGAATTAATGAAATTTTCTTTTTTAGATCAATATTGACTTTCGTACTCGAGAATCTACAGCCAAGAAGATTAAAGCACCAACTCACACGTGTTTTGATGAAGCCCAAAAAATCATATATACCCTTATGGAAAAGGACTCTTATCCCAGGTTCCTGAAATCAAATATTTACTTAAATCTTCTGAATGACCTTCAGGCTAACAGCCTAAAGTGACTGATTCCTAACTGAAGGGAATTAAAAGATGGTATCAAGGACGGAAGGAACGTGCCAGTGTGGCTGCCTGGGTGGACAACTTGGCTTGTTTGGGGTGACTTGACAGGCTCAGGGGAGGAACAAGTGACACAGGATGGATTACCATGGAAGTTATCCAGATTCAGGGCTGAAAAAACATCAGTAAGACTAAAATTGAGAGACTGTGGAAGAAAAGAGATACTATGGTACTGTCTGTGGTACTGTCATAAAATACAGAAGAACCTCTGTATTAGAAAACCCCTCACACTGAAATGGTCAGGTAACTCTGGTGACAGAAACTGTGAATAAAATTTATGGGACTGATTACGATACGCTGTAAGCTTCAAGGTCAACTGACACGCTATGTATTATTACATATAGATTGTATTGAGCTGCTGAAACCTCCTTAACTTGGATTCCTGTTCCAGAAATCACTGTTATTATTGAGAAATGTTTTTTAATGTTGTTTTGTTTGAGTGTATTTGACTTGGAAGTGATAAAGAGAACACTGTATTTAACTTAAGCTATTGCTCTTAAAACGAAGTCAGAATATATTTGTAAATTAAGTTATCACAGTGTCAATAATAAATTTGAGTTTTGTATTAAAAGTTTTGCATTTCATTGCTATTTTTGAAACCGGCGTTTGTTTGTTTCTTTGATTTAAAAAAAAATCAAGTAAAGATCTTAAACTTTTTACCACCAATTCAATATCTAAAAACTGTTACCCAGTTAATGCTATATATTCTGTACTAAATTGGACAGAATTCATCAGTTTTCTTCCTGCTCCCTGATCTCATGCAAACTTCCAACTGATGAGAAATTGATGAAGTCTTTAAAAAAGAGGAAAAAGCTGTCTTACAAAGTCATTCAATTAACAATTGATATTTTATTGTGATTTAAAGTTGATAAAGCTCAATTGTATTGTCTCGTTTAATGTTCATGAAAACTGAAATTCAGAAACATTAAGTCACTAGATTCCAAATTTAGCTAACTCTCAAAATTACCTAGAATGTTAAAATATATGTACACCACTATTTGGGGGCCCCCTCCCAGATTGACTGAATCAGAATCACTGAGGGGCAGAGTATGGGAATCTATGGTTACAAGGAAACTCCAGCAAATTTTGAAGGTGGTTGGATAATCCAGACTGGGAACCTGGGGACTGAGGAGCAGTCACAGTGCCAGGGTTGTTCACAGCTCCTCCCACCACAGAACCTATGCTCTCTCTACTATGCAACACTGCCACCCACTGACCAGAATACATTTCCCAAATCCTGAACTCTGCAGTCTCAAGTGTCACCTGGGGAGGAAAATAATATCCCATGTGAAGGAATCACCCACAGAAAGCAGAAAAATAATCAGTATGATCCATATTCCTGCATAACTTGTGCAGCGGTGTCTTCCCCATGGACCCGTGATCAGCGTCTCATTTGACAATCCATCATCCGCACACCAGATTCTCACTACAAGCTTGCTTAGTCATCAGGCAACAGCAATGGCAAGAAACTATATATATCAGGTTTTAAAAGCATTACTCTTGCTTGAGTTTTCATCAGAGAAAGTCCAAATTAGTTCTAACTTACCCTTTTTATTGCAGGTTTTAGCAGGTCATATTGTAACAGAAAGGGAGTCCAGTTTAATCATCTTCCTTAGGGATCCCTTTACTGATTGTACCACCAATCTGTCAATCTTCCTATACTCCTGTCTGTGGGTGGCTCATTTTTATTCACCCCACTCTAGAATAGGCCCTCTTGTCTTGCCGATTCTCATGACTTGTTCTGTTTCCAGTCACTTCTAATTCATCTTCTAAACAGCTGCATGCGTCATCTTCTAAAATACAGAGTTGTCCAACCAGGTCCCATGACATATAAAATAAAGCTCAAATGTCTCCTTTTGTAATTTAAAACCCTCCCAATGTGACCTTCACAGTATACCTCCCATTACTCCCTTCCAGACATCCTTCCTTCCTTAACATCACACTGGATTATGCACCTTTTTTTTGCACAAGCCTTGTAACTTGCACGTTTAAGAGCTCATTTCAGTTGTCTCCAGATCTTTGGTTCACCTCTACTCCCTGTCTAAAATGTCTTTTTCAGGATCCAACCAATTCTTCAAGGTCCACATAGAATAACTTTTCCATAAAACCTTTCTATGACACCTTATACCATTACGTAATTATTCCCAGTGTCTAATGGAGACGAACTGCAGTCCACATAAACACGGGACACTCTGCTCCTATTTTAAGTATTACTGTCACATTAAACAGAATCCAGGCCCATAAGACTATGAGGAGTGAGCGGTGTAACTATCCAACACACTTACTGGTCATAAAATGAATGCTGCTGGTCTTTCTCTAAATAAATTGCCATGTTTTAGAGTCAGTCAATTTTGGACAGACAGTCAAAACAAGAATCTAAGATACCTCTTCATTTGGCGGGGGAGGCGGGGGAGAGGATAAGTCATGCTGGCTGCACAGATTCAAAGTAATATAAAATGATTGCAAAGATCATTTTCACTTCATTGGCATTTTTTGTTATGGTGACTGTTTCATATGACCGTTCACAGAAATGTGATTCATACAAGTGGCATCTATAATTGAGAGAAGTTCCATCCAGCTACTCAGTCTGAAATTCCTAGTACACAGGCATGTTCAGTTGTTATACTAAATCACAAGTAGTGAACAGTAGGCATAGTTAAAAATTCACTCATCAAAAATGTTTTTTTAACAAAAATTTACTTTTCTCAGACTTATTTTACATTACTTTCAATATGCTTATGCCAGAAGGTAAAAATGAGTCATGATAAACCCCATGATATCTAGGAAAATGTACACAATTGCCTATTTGGCCCATATACTGGGCTGGGGAAATAGCTCAGTTGGTAGAGTGCTTGCCTCACATGTACAAGGCCCTGAGTTCAATCCTCAACACCAGAAAAAAAAAAGACTCAACCATTTGGCCCTTATAGGATAAGTTTGTATTCAATATCTTTGTTTCTGTGTGTAAACATGGACTATAATATTCTAGTACTAATCATTTATGACTTATTTTAATCTGTGAGATTAACAGAGTAAAACATGATTTGAAATCTTATAGGTGTGAATTGTCATACAGAGTTGACTAAAATGTAAACCATACCTATAGAATAAAAATTACCCATCAAATGCAGAAATAATTCCATCCTTTCTGTTGAGAATCTTTAAAGCTAAATACATATCATTCCAATGGCCAAATACTGTATCTTACTCCAGACCTAATCTAAATGAAATTTTCCCACAAATAAGAAAGTGGCAAAACTTCTTATGCAGAACCATCTATGGATGTTTCTATATATTCGATATTTGACTGGATATTTACTTCCAAGTGGCTCCTTTATCTTGAATTTGAAAATAGCACATAAAGGAAAAAAAGAGAGAGGATGTGGGGGAGAGGAAGAGGGAAGGGAAGATAGAGAGGAGTGGCAGAGGGGAGGAGAACAGAAAGAAGGAGAAGGAAAGAGAACTGTTGAACATCTTAAACGTGTGTTTCCTTTTGGGTCCTTTGACAACTTGGATGCCTGAACTGCCATGCTTTTAGTATCTTACCTTCTCAAATTGAAATTTTAAGCCCAAAGAGATGTTACTGTAATTCAGAGTTGTTTACACAAATTTACTTTCAAATTCCCATAGTTAGTGGTAGAATAAGCTAAGAATCTGAATCTAAGTTCAACAGAACCCAAATTTATACACTCACGGAGTCCAAGCCTTGACTTGGATTATTGCCATTTAGGCAAGGTCTGGGTGGTGGCCTCGATGGCAAATAAAAGGAAACAGGCTTCCAGGATTAGGGAGCTGACTGGTTTAAACAAGAAGAAATGGTACATAGTAAGCAAAGTTTTTTAATATGAGAGATTATGTTGGCTCTCTCAATTACACTTATGAATTTTATGTTTATATCCTCCTCCTTCCCTCCTGTCAAACTCACCAACAGTGACAGATGCTTAGGATCCTCTCAGATGGGTTTGACCACCTGATGTATTCTAGGGACATTTCACATGAACATTCTTTTATGGTACACAAAAGAAAAACAATCTCCCTATTTTCGAATGATAGACTTCTCTACCTTCCTACTTCTCAAAACACAGATGTCTAAAAAGTTCATAACTCTAAGGTTTCTTGGGAAAAAAATAGTTATTCAAATAATAGTAGAACATTATAATAGACCTTGGATTTCTTCATCCACAAAAAGTATTTGCTTTTGTTCTATATTTAATATGTATTTTTACTTGTATAGTATTCATGACTGATTTTCACAGGGAAGGTAGAATTAGGGAAGATCTTAAAGAATTAATTCAACCCAATCAGTCAAAAAAGGAGGTGAGACCATTCCAGGTACACAGAGTAGTTTGTGAAAAATCAGGGGAAAATGTGTCCAGCAATTCTTTTTACTGTGTTCAGCAACAGTAGTTTATCTAGTTTGGCTAGAATATATGGGAGAAGAGAGAATATAACAGGGAAAGCTAAAAAGGTATTGCTATGGTTTAGGTGGGTCAGACCTTGTGCTAGATACATTTGTTACTTGTTTACTTTACACTAAAACTCTTAAAGATAAACTCTCTCATTCCCACTTTATTGCTCAATAAACATAGAAACTTATCTAAAAATACTTAATTAGTGAATTGCAAACCCAAAATTAAACTTAGATTTGTCATTTCTGGGTCTCTCTTCCTAGAAGGGTCATGATTTCTTTGTGTTTTAAAAATCACAAGATTTAGTGTAGAATGTTTTGAAAGAAGACATAATTAAGGGAAAAAGTCAAATAAATATGAGGTAGTTTTGTAATCTGTTGGGAGAGAACTAGGGCTTAAACTAGGGAAGTAATCAAGGCAACAGGAAAGAAAGGGTGAATAGGTAGTACCTAAAGAGCAATTTGCTATGATGAATAAGGAAAGAAACACAGGGACAATATAAGGTGTTTAGCCAGGGTCCCCCATAACTGCAACAAGGGCCTTGGCTTTTATGTATCGTCTTTGAGATGCTTCAGCTAAAAACGTGCCTTAAACAACTTAGAAAAAGGACTGGGATTGTAGCTCTGGTAGATGGCTTGCATAGCATGTGTAAGGCTCAAGGTTCAAACCCCAGCACCATAACACACACATACACACACACACACAGTCATATAAACATCTTGGAAATAGAATATGGGAGTGCTGTAAGCTTCTAAGGGGTTCCACACACAAAACAGATTGCATAGTAGTTTCAGTGGATAATGGCTTATTCACAATAAACTTGCATATGAATCAATGTTATGGCTTAGAAATAAGGTGCCCCCCAAAAGCACATGTGTAATATAATGCAGGAATGTTTACAGGTGAAATGATTAGATTATGAGAGATGTAACCAGATCAGTAGATTAATCAGTAGTGGGTTAATCCATTTTATGGATTAATACTTTGAATGGATTAATGGGTAAAGACTATAGACAAGTAGAGCATGACTAAATGAAATAGGGCACTGGGGTCATGCCCTTGGGGACAATGTTAACAAATGGTTCTTTGTACTCAAGTCTCTCTCTCTCTCTCTGCTTCCTGGCCATCCCTTTCCACTATGATGTTCTGTTTCACTTTGGGC